AGAGAAAAGGTCTTCTCTTTTGTAGGTTGTCTAAAGTGTTTACTTTCCCATGGAATACTTCCCAACAAAAAGCCATAATTTTTGGGGGGACTGGCATGCACCAAATTTCTTTAGATGGAAAGGGTTAGTGAGAAGAAAGTTGAGTGATGGACTTGAAGAAAGAAGCACAAGAGAAGGTTCCAATGGGTCTAGGAGTCCAAACTCTCTTATCTGGCTTGGAGGGATCCAAACAAACTTGATTAAGACAACCAAGCAAAATAGAAAGAGACTCAATTTCAGCATCCCTAAGTCCTCTACGAAACCCAAAATCCCAAGTAGGATCTAAGGGTGTTCCCAAAGGTGAAACAAATTTTGAGACCACCTCTTTTTTGTACAAAGAAATAGAAAAAAGCGAAGGGAACAAGTCCTTTAACAATAATTTTTACAATATTTCCATATGATATTTCCGACATGTTTCTTATATTTGGATGGCCGATATTTCCACCGACATCGACATTTTAAACCTTTCTCTCTAAGGGGATTTTCATGTAACCAATCTTTGAATTAATGGAATATGATTTTTTTATTTATCAAAAAGAAAAAACAATTGAAAGAGAAGAGAGGAAAAGGTAATTTGATTATTATGCCCTAAAGGAATCATTCTAGCCATATATATTTGGCTCAGAGATTACATGATCATGTAACTAACTTCAAATAATGGGAGAAACGACTTCTGACAGGGAATCTTCTTATGTGGAAACCTAGAACTTCTTCCTGCTTTCGAACTGCTGAGGTATTAGGGGTAAGGGTCCTAGCTCCTCTCAGTAGTTGGGACTTGAATTGACTGAATTGGGCTGGACCTAACACAAATCTTGTCCAGTCATCACATTCTTCAATGGCTACGCAAATCCTATCCTGCATCATGTTCTTAAATTGTCTTCTTTAACCTAAGTTCTAGAATCATCTTTCTTTGGCCCTAAAATAGATCATCCTATTTGATTAACATCAAGTGTTTGTAGTGTCAACAACATAAACTTACCCAAAACAAAACCAGCAAGTGGAATACGGACAAGAAGTGTCTTGGACTGCTTCCTTAATGGTAATTTCTCAAACTTTCCTTCGGATTTTTCCAGGACAAGGACATTAATTGCCAAAACCTGTCAAATTCCCAAGAGGCAATCCATAAACAAATATACAAGATCTCCAACTCAAGAAACCAGAAATCAACCTTCAAAGTCATAAGAGATTAAGAAAGGCAAAAACCGAGCAAATGCAAAATATTGGTCCACAGAAAAAGGACACAAAAGTGAACAGTCCAAAGGCCAACTTACCCTGCAATTGAACCGCATTGTCTTACTCTCCAAGCACTGAAGTTCATATATTAAGCCACATGGGGTTGTTTCCAGTAAAGAATCATATGAATCATCTGAACTAGGGTGTTGATGAGAACATGTATCACTAAGGTGATTGACTTCCTTTACAGAGTTAATTACAATGAATGACACTGGTGTCAACATCAGTTCATACTGCCTGAGGAAAAAAAAAGGATCTTCGAATGATTCCTACTAGAAATTCCAGATGTTAGGTAAAACGTGTGGAAATAAATATTTCAGCATGATAGACACATGGATAGATCATAAATAGAGAGTTCAGCATGATATATACACAGGGATAGATCATACCAAGAGATTGAAAGCCTCTTTTTTCAATAACTGCGAGTCTAACATGCAAACCATGGTCTAAGAATTAAGCATGACAACACAGAACATGGATCATAGGATAATGACCAGATCAACATGAAAAGTTCCTTCCATTAAAAATAGCAATCATCCAATGCTGGTCCCAACAATCTGGGGGTCTTGGAAGAGGTGGACTGCATACATACCTTACCTTGGACATTTCTAGGACAAAGTGGCTGCTCTCACTCAAACCTGTGTTCTCATGCTTGTCAGCCCAAGAGTTTACTATCAAACCAAGCAATGACCCCTATGAGAAGTTCTTCCATTGAGAAAAAAATATGAAACTAATTACTTTCAGCTTTTTAATTGCCTTGTGTAACTACTAACTAATTAATCTATTTACTTCATTCAGTTCAATTAGCTGGTGGCACTATCCTGTTCACTTCAATACAGTCTCACATGTATTATCACAATTTGTACACTGTTGGATCAGTTTTCTATTCAACCAAAAATCTTCATTTTCTTAATATATAGTATGGCAATAGATGCTTTTACTCCTGTTGTTCCAAACTCACAATCCATTTCTACCTATCTGATATTCTCAACTGGTGAACTTTCTAATTGTAAGTAATGCATTATTTATCTTTATTGGTAAGTTTTAAAATTTTATTATGCTATGAAAAGGAATGATGTACAAATGGTGTGTGTGTGTGTGTGTGTGCCTGGCACCCATAAGATTTTAGGCCAGCCCCTGCTGCCTACCCAATGTTCTCGTCCTCTTTTACATCTCATGAACAGGGTGAATTTTCTCCAACACAACAGTATCAACCATACTGTACTTATCTTTGATACATGGCCACGTGCCTCACTTCTCTTCTAATGTGCTTATACTTTCAAACAAGGTTCAAAATTTCGTCACATATTGACCCCTATCAGCCATTACAACCATACTGGTGAATGCTAGATAACAGAGCTTTGGGGGTTTGACCTATTTCAGGGGATAGACAATTAGACAGGTCTAAAACCTACTCCCTGACCTATTTTTGAAAAATAAAAACTAGAAAAAAGGTGGGCACAAGGTTCAAACTTCGAAGAACCAATACACCCCTTGCACCGTATACGGGTGCATCAGTACTTTGAATCTTGCTTCCAAAATCCAAGAGTGCTAGTCCAGGACTGGCATAGCTGACCCCATATAGTTGGGTTTAAGGTTGCATTGAGTTAAAAAGAACTCAATGACACTAAAAGATAGATAGAAAGACAATATAAAGTAGAACCTAAATTCAAGGAAAGAGATACAAGTGGATAAGTTCAAGATAGGCATACCCCAATACAAGAAGACGGTGAAAAGTTGCACTTGCTCCTGGCCCCATTCCAATAGGAAAGACAAGTTTGCATAGGTTACCATGAATCCTCACCTAATTAATTGACATGCCATGTAAGATATCAAATTTGACATCAAAATTGGAACATAAAAAATAAAATTAATAAGGGATGAAAAGCATAATTACAATGTTACAGTCATTGGAAAGATGAATACAAACGTTGCTTGGCAATCCCTGAAAGAACTTCAAATGATGAATATCACCAATGGCTTCATAACGTAAACAATTTTGAACAGAATTACAGTCAAAATTATGAACATCCACTATGTGTCCATGCAGTGATATTAAATTTCCCTCGGGCAGTCTGCAATCTGGAATAGCAGATCCAGGTACAGTCATCTTGATCCCAATGCAGACAGAGAAATTAATAGCCTCTACTGGTGCCACAAAGGTCATACCAGATTGCTTCTCCAATGTTTCAATATCTACCTTCAAGAGGTTCATTGCATCAGAAGAGAGATAAAGATTGACATCTGAACAGGTTTCAGGACTTTGACCTGGAAATTCCTGGAATAACAATTTACTTGAACCATCAGAGAGAATCACAGTATTACTGCTAGAGTAAACATCTGGTGGGTGCCCATATGGTGGCTCACAAGACAAAGTCCCATGGAGAAAAAATGAAAGGCTCCACAGAGGTGATGTAGAAGTTATAAGAGCTTGACCATTGTTGAGATTTCCATGGTTCTCTGAATTACATGGTAGCTCTTCCATACACTGCTTCAAGATATAATATTGACCAATTCTTAAGTACTGCAATACAAAAAAGAACAAAATTTGTGTTACAAAGCTTGGTCATGCAAAAAACTTAATGGATTTCTACAAAACCACATGTAATATGGTAAAATAAACAGGATGAAAATCCATCACACCTGATAATTGAAAAAGCCTTCAAACTTAAACTCCAGCAAAACCTTTTGAAAACTTGGATTGGCTCCTATACAATCCTTCGAATAGGGTTTTTTGCGGTACAAGATTCCTGACCTAAGTGTATTCTGATGGTCGAAAGCCCTAGCAGTGACAAAACATGGCATTTCAAGAAGATGATTTGAGCTACCAGCTTTCTGGTTGGTGCTAAATTTCCAGTAGGGACTAAAACAGTCACCCAGGCAATTGTATGATTCCTCGCTGGATTTTCCCAGGTCACATAATGAGACTGAAGTTAAAGGCCTACTTGATGCAGGAGCAATTTTAAGTCTCTTATTACATAAATTTTCTGGGAGATTTTCTGTGACATTATATTTCATGTCTTCCTTTAGCTTGGCCATGGGTGCATTGGATGGATGGGTACCTCCATTTTCCAAAGGGAGAAACAAATCCCAAGGCAACATCATGGCCTCAACAAACAAGCTTGGCATATTTGAAGTAATTGGATCACCTTGCAACTGCCACGTTATATAAGATATTTAATGAAAGAAAGAATAGTAATAAATAAAATAAAAAGCACAAGGAAACATGAAATGTAATTATCAGCAATTGCATATGCAGATTCATTTAAACCATACATGTTGCATTGCAGGAAACTTGTGTGTTATAAAAAGCAAGTGGAACATTCCACTTTCAAGTCCTTTGAGATTACCACTCCAACCCATTGATGGAGTGTGTAAGGGAACATTCACACGATTTGCATCTTTCAGATAAAAGTGGGCATAAATTGCCAATCTATCTATTTTTCTGGTAAATGGAACATGGTGAAATATATTGTTGCACGAAAACGGATCACCCTTAAGCAAGCCCAAAGAATCAGTTTGTGTGGGTAAACCTTCAAAGACAAGACTATAGTCTTGAACCTGAAAAGCAAGAAAAGGAAATTAAGAAGTCATGAGTACTTTTGAGGCTTAACAAGGACAGCAGAAAAGCTGTCCTGAAACCATTACCCCATTCAAAAAAAAATGACATGAAATAGGGCTTGGAACAGGTAATGAATTTGTCAGAAAATATCACCTCATATATGCTGCTGACATCCCAATTTGATGGAAAATCTGGTATTACAACATCAATGCTACCAGTCACATCGCTCAGTTGCAACCTCCCAGAAGATGGAGAAATCTGAATGAAAACAATAAGCACAATTATATTTCAATTAGTGATCATGCAACTTATCTTGTCCTCATTGACACACCAAGATCCAACACTTGAAAAACTTGTTACTAGTTTTAGGGTATTCGTATTCCAACTTCACAAAACCTCCTTCCATAAAGGGCAAATGAACACATTCACATATCTAGTCACAGATACACAATACAGGAAGTCCATCTTGAATACTTTGCCCAATCATCTATTATTCTGAAAGGCAAATTAGTAGGTCTGAATCTCCATTTTGCATCCATGTTTGCGGTGCAAAAGAAGTATTATATGCACATCTCTGCATGTATATGCAACATAAATAAAAAATTTCCCCCAGTGTCCAAATAAAAGATATAACTAATTTTAGACAAAGGAAGAGGTCCATGTGGTTGAAAGGATTAAGAACAGCAACAAAAAGAAAGGAAACATATGTTGTTAGTGATTTTAACCTGTAGATTGCCCATCAAAACAACACCAATATCTTTACTTGAAAAAATCCTTCTGATCAACCTGCCATAAGATTTCTCTTCACATGATAAACTAACGTTTCTGCTATTCCCCATGATGTCAGAATCAGAATCCATTTGCGCGAGCAATTTTACCCACATGGCCTCACAATAGCCAACAAGATTGGATATGGGTACAACCTACAAGCATGAGAAAAGTATTAGCAGAATGACTCTTTGGCATTCTCGTAATTGAGATAAGTCCTTGCAACACTACATGTGTCAAAATTTTGTCATGCCAGTGGGTACATTGTTCTATTTGTATTCCAATGTTAAAAGTCACAAATTGAGATTTATAGTAACAACCATATGCAAATCTTGGTCAGTCGCTATGTGGTTCATAAGTAGCTTATTACAAAAGGATTTGGAGTTAAAGGTTGCTGGCTGGGTGACCTATTTAATTCAATTTCAAATTATTAAAAAAACAAAACTAATCTCAATAAAAAAGTGACATTATTGTATTGTATATAAAGAAGAAATCAAGGGCGTGTTTCCCAGAAAGGAGGAAACCCAACACAAAAGGCATAATTCCATGCTTCGTACTCTACAAAACTGATGCTTTTATATAGCTTTTAAAAGGGAATTTTAACAATTTACCAATTTCAAGTCAGCATAATTTGATTCACTGCCACAGCCACACTCATCATGCTTGCAGAATTCCATGAATACCCCATGCTGCCAAAAGGGGAAAAAAGAAAATAAAAAATATATGAAACCCAACATATATGTCATATATGTCTACATGCATCTTAAAGCAACTGTTATTACCAACTTACCCGAGGTTGAAATACACATGGAGGTAAGTATGAGGTAGCATACATCTGAACCAGTCCCACTTTCTGTTAGCACATTGCACAAATCCAATATCAACTTGGCAGAAACAAAGAAAAAAAAAGCTTCCGCATGAATCAAGAAGCTCTCATTGAATTAACCCACATCAACAAGAAGCCAATTTAGAATGTTACATGTTTAGATCCCAAAATATCCTTCTCAGATAAGATCCCTGAAAATTTTTTCCTGAAACTTGAGACCATAAGTAATAACCTGAAACCAAACCAGTTGGATGAGAGGGACAGTAACAGATATCAGTAAATCCAAAACTTTAGAATCCTCATCATCAACCCTTTACCATAATCTAGCAGAAAATACCAAGGAATCTATAAATTTCCGCAACAAGCTCTGTTTCTGAGCCTGGATATGGCACCTAAAACAGAAAAGTATATTTTGTCATACAAATAATTTCTCATCACAAAGTAAAAAGAAATGCATAAATTACATTAGAAACGTTATGTTAGCAGAAACGGTAAAAAGGGGGAACGATCAAGTTAGTAATACTCACAGAGGTTCCAATGGCGAAAAAGACTTCACATTAATGCAAGTCTTATAGCAGGCCCCAAGCAAAAGAACTTTTGTCCAAGAAAATTTTGGTTGTACAAAATGAACATTTTTCAGAGAGATCTACAAGAAATCTGACACTAAGATATGTAAGCATTTTATATGTCCTTGTTTACAACTTTGCCATGTTCATTGTATACGGATGTACAAATATAAATATATAAATGCATTCTACAACGAGGGAAAAGAAGCTCAACATACCAGAGAACCCACCCTTAGAGAATGTGGTGGGACGAGTAGAAGGTCTGTTAGCAAAAGCCACACTTTCCCGTCCAATTCAACAACCATGCCTTGCATGTAAACCCCTGTGATAATGCCAGTATACAAATCCAACTCACCCTTCCCCCTCATTAAGGTACTTCGAAATGGCAACCGTAGTGCGGGTAACCTTGGTAGATGCAATAAAGCTTTGTCAGTAGTTGTGAACATCGCATAAGACTCTTTCCCTGTAAAAATCAACTTCTTCTTCAGGCCTGTAAATAAAACTACATTCCCAATCAACTTATATAGTGCAGGATGCCAAGAAGAAGCAGAGCCAAATAGGTACACAAACACGGGTCGAAGGAAAGCATGACAACTCTTTCCTTGAACTGAGTCATGAAGAGCATTTTCCAAAGCTTTGGAACCACACAAGGGACACTCACAGAGCATCATTTCCACAAGGAATCCACTCATGTTTCTTCGACTGCTGGAGTTTTGGCCACAATTGCTTTCAGAATCAGAAGTACGATTCTGGACAGTACAGGGAACGACAGAAACAGGACTGACTGATTCTAATCTGCCAAAAATACGAGAACCAGCCTTGAAGTGCTCTTTGCAAACAGAAGAAGTTGAACCCAAGGGAAATGCATCCAGGTTTGATACGGTGGTGTCTGGAAGACTCCACCTAACTATCTCCAAAAATCCACAGTCACCATACTTGAAAGGAACAAAATTCCAAGCGAGAACATGGATTTGCTTTCCGACAATATTAAAATCTATGTCCAGAACATCACAACAAACAGTAGATGAGCCATCAGAGAATATAAAGCAACTGTATCTAGAGCTGCAAGAGAGCGGAATCGAAGTGGAACCACCATCACTGGAGGGAAGATTTAGATTTCCAATGATAAGTGTGGGATGGTTGAGAGAGCTAAGTACGTTAGGGTTGGGTTTTTGACATGGAAAAGACGTCGTTGGGGCTTCGACGAGAAGTTGGAATTCACGGCTTCTTTCGGATGGAATACGAGAAGTCGGTGTACCGTTCGTAAATATGGTGGAGGAAGAAGAGAGGTGGATCGAAGAAGCCCCTGTGAGGGGGCGAGAGCGTTTTAGAAGCTCCGCTATCGTTACGATCTTCACGCCATCCATTCCATGAAATGCCACCACGAGCTTTTAGGAGCTCCTCTCTCTCTCTCTCTCTCTCTCTCTCTCTCTCTCTCTCTCTCTCAAGCTCCCGCGAAGACGATGAGTGTTTCACTGAGTTAAAGCGGGAACTGGGGTTTTAAACGCTCGTAGAGTCGTGGTGGGTGTGGGTGCAGAGTGTAAACGTCGCCTTGTTGGATTGGGTTAATAGCATGTAAGGGCAACTTTTGGCCCTAATCTCAACAAAAGTAATATTTTTAACAAAATTTCAAAAATAGGTTAATTTTTTAAAAATAATATCAATTAAGGGCAAAAATATTGCTTATCTTATTCCTCTTCCAATTTATTCATCAGTACTATCGTCCGTCATCACCTCCGGTAACCTCCGTCAACACCTCTGTCACCTTTACCCACCTCCGACAATGCCTCCGCCTACCTCCGCCTTCGCCTCCAGCAACATTGCCAGAGAAGATTCGTCAAAGAAACCTCCTTGTACTCCGCCATCAACTTATCCCATTTCTCCCGACACTGCTTTCTATCCCTCTATTGTCGTTTTGTACTCCGCTCTCTTTAAATCTCAACAATGAATACGATTGGAAGGAGTAAGGAGATATCCCAGTTAGATCTAATGATGACTATAGAAGCATTCTTTGCTCTAGAAACGGACTGAAATAAGTAAAACTGACCTTAAGCTATTGATGTGAAGTTGGCATCCATGGCTTTATTCCGACATTAGAGACCTTCAGAAACACCTCTTCTAGCTTTGTTACTTTCTCTCTCTCTCTCTCCCTCTCTCTCTCTCTCTCTCTCTCTCTTCTCTGTAAGAAAACCAACCAGATAACACTTTGCTCCTTGCTGAACTGCAAAGTCTAAAAAATAGAGCATAATGGAGATTCTTCTCTCTAGTCACGGTTGCTCTCAACCGATGGATGGCTAGTGTGGGTGTGTACGGGGTTCTATTTGTAGAGCCCGAACCGCCTAGAGAGGGGCCTTCCATCATGGTTAAGGAACTGTAAAACAAGAAGCTCCATCAACCTCTGTTTTACAAACCATTGGATATAAAACCATGTACTCCCTCTCTTAATGGGAGCCTTAGGTGGGCTTCTAGAACAGCTTGCCATTTCGGCAGCTAGTTCTAGACACTACTGAGTCCCAGTTTACTGATTCATCTTAAGCTATATGAATAAGTTCTAACAATCCCTTGTTCATCTCTTCATTTGATTTCCCAAAGTTTATGTATTTTCGGTTTTGTTGCCTGCAACATCTGCGAACCGTGTGAAGTGTGAACAAGGAACATGGAGAGAGATATTTCATCAAATCCTGTTGCTGAAGCATCTGGCCTTCTTTTGCCTATCGCCTTCACTGGATCGGGAAACGAAGATGGTTTCTTCAACCTCAACATCCTAGGGGCGGCGGGTTTCCATTTCCCCGCTGCATCCGGCATAAATCAAGGAATTACTCCATTAGATATCGGAATTCCACTAAATTCGACGTCAGATCCTATGGCTTTCAGCTTCTTCAGTGACTCTCTCATGCCTCCTCGGAACAAAAATATGTTTGATTGCGATGCAGACGGAGATCAACCACCGAAATGCTCTATTAGCTTCATCAACTCGCAGAAGATAATACTCCCCAAACCCGAGCCATTCGATGAGCAACTGATGATGGACAATCCTATCGAAATGTGCAGCTTCAAATCAGAAAGCTTCGATCAGACTCTACCTCTTTGCAATTGGAGATTTCATTGGTTACGGAAGCTCCGTTCTATCGAACAAGCTTCTAAGGATCCGAGAATTTTGACTAGTTCTCATATGCAGCAAAATGAGCTCGTCATCGTTGAATCTTCTCCTCAGGTAAATTTCCAGTCGTCGTCATCAACCGACTCTTACACACTGGAAACTATAGTGAGAAACTTCGCGTTACTGAACCTTAGTTCCATTGCTTGGCTACAGGCGCCAAAGCGAAGCCCTCCGTCACCGGCTGCAGTGCACATGAGCACATTGGCTAGGCAGCGGTAGAAGAAGATCGGCGACAGGACGAGGTGCTTGCTGAAGCTGATGCCATGGGACAAGAAGATGAGCATGGCAACGTTGCTGGAAGAGGCGTACAAGTACATAGAATTCCTGAAGGCACAACTTAGAGCACTGCAGACCATAACATGTTAGTCGAGCATCGAGTGGGAGGTGCTACCAGGAAATGTCGGTTTTGAGCTTGGTGGGTTGAACCGACAACAACTGTTGCAGGTGCTGATGAATTCTCCATGGCACAGACCATCCTATACTCCAAAAGATAATGTGTTTTCTCATGGGAGCAGCTACTTTTGTTGAATAAGATCACTGAGAACAATAATATTTCGGAACAGCAGACATTATTGTTAGGTTCTTCTTCCTCTTCTCGAGTTTCTTAAAGCGGCAGTGTTTCGAAACGAGGTGGGCGGAGGTGGTGGAGGTAGACGGAGTCATTGCTAGAGGCAGTGGGCGGCGACGGACGGTGGCTCTGATGAATAGATTGCAAGAGGAAGAAGATGAACAGTATTTTTGTCTTTAATTGATATTAATTTTAAAAAATTAATTCATTTTCAAAATTTTATTATAAATATTGCTTTTATTGATATTAGGGCCCAAAAGTTGCCCATAACCCTATTGGTTTTAACAACAAATTAACAGGGTTTGGATGCTAAATTCATTTGGTTGGTTGAACCGGCCACTAACAGATAAAAAAAGGCGCCTTTTTCTTGAAGCTTCCAAAACACAATTTACCCTTCCCATCTCAGACTTAAGCTCTATTCCCACCCTCTCATCTGAACCTAGCCTGTTACCAAATTACCGGCGACCAACACCAACTAACGGTTGACAAAAAGTTCATTCATAAATCCATTCTTCTTTTTCTTCCCTGCAAACTCAGTTCTTCTTCTGTGTCATTTCCTTTAAGATTTCTTCCCTACAAAAGGAACAAAGTGATAGGGTACTGACGATTTGGATTTGGAGTTTAAACAATTCGGTCGTTTCACATGCCCATTCCAATTTAGAGTTCATTGTACAATCGGTTATAGAACAAACCATTAAAAAGGAAAAAAAAAATAACAGGTTATTTGTCTAGGTAACTGTTACTCCCTCGTGTTTGCTTACTATTGATGAAACGGAGGTTTTGCTCTCCAAATTGGATTCACCTTGATGACGAGAATGTACTTATGTTTCAAGAAAATCATGATGTTATTCATTTATTTTCTTAACCAAGTTACTTTGTGATGAGTGACATTTTGGTCAACCCACTTAATGATGGACACGTGGGTGCTGTCAACAACACAACGTCCCCCTCAACAAACTAGCTCACCTGCTCGACACGTGGCAACTAACACCAGGTATGCAGCCGAGCTGGAATAAGCTCGTCCCACGACATCCAATATAGTAGAGTAGCTCGCCAGAGTAACACATGGCAGTCGATCTAGGGCGAGCTCTATCCGCTAACAGCCCTAGCTTGCCCGAAACAGCCCCGCGGACAATGCCTGCGACAACGCTGCAACCGTAGCTCGGAAAATGGACCACCTAGTTGACCGCCTCCCGACCAGCAATTGACCTATACCCGTAGCTTGGATCTAGCAATTAACTGACCAATACACCTTGGGATTTAGGAAACGGCTCCGCACAAGGCTCAGAGACGTTGCCTTACAGCACCTAAACCACAAGAAGCTATAAAAGGACCCCAAGACAACTCCCCAGAGGTAAGCGCACATAAGCTCTCACTCTCTCGTATTTTATCTCTCTAAGAACCACTCATTGACATAAGCATTAGAGTGTCCTCCCGGGTAAAAATTTACCCAGGCACTCTAACCTCTTTTCCTTTCAGCTCCTAGCTCAAACCTCCAGGTCGGCCTCACAGCTCGGCATAATAGCTCGCCTCACACCGCAAACTAAACTCAGTTTGAGCCACCTCATCAAACACGAGGGAGTGAACAGATTTTGTGCCTCATTTATTGGTGGGCTCATTTTTGGCTTCATCAATTGGCGTCGTCTGTGGGAAACGCAGCAAAAAGCTAGTATTCCCTCCTATTTACCTCTTATTTTATCATCTATCACTCCTGAAAGAAAGCTCTCTAAATGGCACTCTCGGGAAATCCCTCCACCAACATCAATGGCCAAATCCCAACCATCACTATTGGTCAAATCGACATTCCACTACCACAAGCAGAGAATGTGAGTATGCCCCCCCCCCCATCTGTGGAGCCAACAACACCTCCTACAGTAGTGGATGTGCGACAGTTTAATGACTTGGTATGATGTGTTAATAACGTGACTGAACAAATGCGATCATGGGGAAACATGTTTGCATTTATCATTGGACAGTAGCAGTAGCTATCCTAGCAACCATATCAAAAACGACCTCAGCGGCTGTCCCAACAACAACCACACCAGCAGTAGCCTCAGCAACAGTTCCATCAGCAATCCCAACAACAACCACACCAACAGCAGCCTCAGCAATAGTTCCATCAGCAATCCCAGCAACCTCACCAACAATCTCAGCAACGAAGTCAGCCTTGACACCCAGCGATGTCTGGACTACCAGCACCCAGGAGCAGCCAACCTCACAACAATTGACAACCTCCCCTATCCAACCACCTGAATCAAGAAGACTAGCCACAATCACGAGTGCGCAACTAGATCCACATTCCAAACGGAGAAGGCATTGCGGCACCAGATGAATAGGGACCAACAGAAAGCCAGGCAGAATCCCTCATCAAATCTAATGCGGCGAGCTCCACCGAAGGTACCAGGAGAAAGAAAAAGCATCGTGCAGGAAGAAAGATACAGCTCGCCTAGCGAGGAGCGAAGCTCAACCGAGAGAATGTAGCTCAACAACGAGGAGAATAATCTCTTTATCTGAACAACCCGATCTGACTAGGGAAACCCCCTTGCACCAGAAATCCTCAAAGCTCCATGTCCTAAAAACTTTCGGGCACCTACCTTGGAATCTTATCGAGGAAAGTCGAATCCGGTAGAGCACGTTAACAACTTTCAAGCTTTAATGCTCCTTCATAGAGCTAATGATGCTACTATGTACATAGCGTTCCCCACCACCTTGAAAGAAGAAGCTTGGTTATGGTATTTGGGATTGGCTCCAGGGTCCATAAAAAACTAGGACCAGTTCGCCCAACTCTTCATCAACCAATTGATCACAAGAACGCCAC